GGGGGCGGCGAGGGCGTGAGTGACCCCTCCACGTAGGTGTCCGTCTGTCAGCGCCGGGCCGCCCCAGGSCTGCCAGCACCTTGCCCAGCTCCATTAAACCTGACACATCAAAGGCACCCTGGGCTCAGCCAAGCTCCTCGGAGGGCACGGAGCCAGCCAGAGGACGGGCAGCCTGCCCCGCGCCAGGGCTGACATCAGAGAAGCCAAGCAGGAAGGCCCCGCTGAGAAAAGGATCCCAAACAGCCTCGGGAAAAGAGGCTTTGGCTTGGGAGAGAAACGTCTCGTTGCTCTCCCGTTTTCCCTGGCATTCCAAGCCTTATTTGATTTTATCTCCATGTCAGGGGGATAAAATCCAAGCAGGATTTTCCTTGTTTTTATCCACACCTGGGAAGCTGGAATAGCGTTTTTTGGCTTTTCAGCCAAAGCGAGGAGTCGACAGCAAAAACGCGGCCGCTGCCACCACRGGAGATCCAGGATGGGAAGGGTGAGGAAGGGTTTGAAGGAAGGGAGCAGGGAGGATTTTATCCAGCTGGAGCCACAGACAGRGCTGAAGGGAAGTGGCAGGTAATTATTGCAGCTGGAACACGGCCAGGGTGTCTTGAAATACCAGCTTGCAAAACTTTCACCAAAACACGCCAGCGGACCAGGTGTTTCGAGGATAACAGATCTGGGCTTTGACTCTGCAATCRGCCCCGGGATCAGCAGATCCAGGACAAAACCATTATCAGCAGTTAAGGCTGTAATGGATCCTCAGTCCCTCGAGGCCCTCCCGGTCTGCTTTGCTCAGGATTTTGGGTACAAAGGAGGAGAAAAGCTCATTTATTTCCAGTTCTGGACAAGAGTTCTGCGCTCYTTGCTCTGGACAGGAATCCTCCAGGTGTTTGACCCCGCAGGCCTGACAGCCTCCTCAGAGGGCAGCAGTGAAGCCGATTTTTTGGATTTAGGGAGGGTTTTACCAATGTCCTGCCTGCAGAGCTTTACTCCTGGGATGCTGCAGTGGGGATAAACCCGGCCTGGGCATGGCTTGAGAAAGGAAACGCGGATCAACCGAGAAAGAAGGGCAGATCTGGCACCCAAACCCACCTAAAAAAAAAAATAATCCTGGCACGAGGCTGCGAGAGCTACGAGAAAACCAAGAATTCTTTGTTAAATGTCASCCAAGACCTTTTGCACCCCAAAACCTTGGTCCCCAACAGCTCCAGGTGCGTGGCCCTGAGAGATGGATGGGTTTGGGACACGGGGAAGTGCCCCAGGAACGTGAAAGGAACTGTGTAAACACGGCCTGTGTCCATACAGAGCCCGTGGCTTGGCRCTGGCATTCCCAGGAGCGAAATCAYTGCTCGTTGAGCAAGAGCTGGGAAGGCAGAAAGAAAAGGAAAGGGCGCAGGGTGGCAGGGGAGGAGGCACCATGCCCAGCCCCGGGCTGGGAGCAGCCCCCAACTCCAGCATTTATTCCAGAGCTCTGGAAGGAGCAGCACAGAGGAAAGGGAGCCGAGGTTCCCAGCCAGGCTGAGCCCTCTCCAGCCCGGTTACACCATCCCATTTCTCCGTGCACGCACCTCGAGGAAGCTCCAGCTCATCTACAGCTGCCCAGGTGGACAAAGCTTCACCCCCAAACCCTTCCCTGCTCCCTGGAMGACTGCAAAGCCCTCGTTTGCTGGAGCTGGGCTCTCTTCACAGCCTGGGAGCAGCTCCAGGTGTTTGATTTTTGCTTTACATTTCAAGGTCTCCTGGAAGTTGGACGCACCCAGAGCTCCTCCAGCCCAGCCTGGGTTTTCCAACAGGAGAGGTGTGCAAGCACAGCGAGGGAGGGAGGAAGGGAGGGAGGGAGGCAGCACTAACGACACCTGTGCTAATGAAACACCCAGGACCTGGCGAGAGGCAGTAAAAGGGAAAAGCAGAGGAGGCAGCTCGGCCTCGTTATGCAACACGGTTATCTAACGACCACGGAGACACCCTATAGGGGCTCTTTGTTTGCAGAGGGAAAGCAGAGAAATGCCACCAATATCTGAGTCACTGGTTCACCAAGAGGCTCCGGAGACATTTTCAGGTGGAAACTTTTGCAGGTTCACATGGTAATTGGGGAGGCCTGGCTAATTCCCCGGCTCCACCCACCGCCCTGTAACACAGCTCCTGCTGCTGTTGCATATATAGATAGGTATGGCCCTACACCTGGGTGCACACACCACAGCCCGGACACAGAGCAATCCTAAACCTTCTTCCTCCCTGGCTGCCCGCCACCCGCTCCCACCATGAAGAAGGAAATACTAACCCTGGCTTTTGCTCGAGCCGTCTTCGTGGAGTTCCTCTCCACGCTCATCTTCGTCTTCATCGGGCTGGGCTCGGCGCTGAAGTGGCCGTCGGCGCTGCCCAGCATCCTGCAGATCGCGCTGGCCTTYGGGCTGGCCATCGGCACCCTGGTGCAAGCCTTCGGCCACATCAGCGGCGCCCACATCAACCCCGCCATCACCATCGCCTTCTTCGTGGGCAACCAGATCTCGCTGCTGCGCACGCTGCTCTACGTCCTGGCGCAGCTGGTCGGGGCCATCGCCGGTGCTGGGATCCTCTACGGTGTCACCCCCGCCAACACCCGCGGCAACCTGGCCATCAACGCGGTGAGTCCCTGCCCGGGGCGCTCCCTTCTTCCCTTCCCTCTCCTTCGGTRCCGACACGGGGAGGAGAATCCGCGGGGATGGATCCTCATTGCTCCATCCTGCCCRCACGGAGGGTGGGAATGGGAGAATGCGTAGGGATGGGTCTTCAGGGCTCCGTCCTGCATGGAGGGCTGGGAATGGGAGAATCCGCAGGGATGGATCCTCGTTGCTCCATCCTGCCTGAACGGAGGGCCAGGAATGGGAGAATCTGCAGGGATGGATCCTCAGTCTGTCCCCTGCACGCACGGAGGGTGGGAATAGGAGAATCCACGGGGATGGATCCCCAACGCTCCGTCCTCAGTGCTCCATCCGCAGTGCTCCATCCCCAGCGCTCCGTCCCGCACGCACCGAGGGCCGGGAATGGGACGGGAGCGAAGCCGCGCTCTGACATGACGGCTTTATTGTGCGGGTGATGAGTGGGATGTTTTTCCCTCCTTTAATGAGGTCTTCCTCTGTCCCGAGGGCCCCGTGAGTCACCCGCACCATTGAGATGTTCCGCCTGGAGATTAGCGCGGGATAGGAGCCGTGCCAGCGGCAGTGCCGAGGGAGGGAGCTGAGCCCAGTCAGACCAGTATGGGCACGGGGAGCCCACTGGAACCAGTGGGAACGGGGACAGGTGATGGGGGAGAGCTGGGGAAGGAGCGAGGAGCAGGACGGTGTCAGGGCTGCTCCTGGAGGAGGAGCGGGGACAGCAGGACCCTCTGAGATAAGAGGGAATGAGGAGCAGTCTGAAACCCTCGGGGCAGTGCTGGGAAAACTCCTGGAATGAGAACATGGACAGGTTCAGAGCTCTGAGAGCAGCACAGACTGGTCCAGAATTCTGGGAGCAGCACGGACAGGTCAGAGCTCTGCGGGCAGCACGGACAGGTCAGAGCCCTGGGGACAACACGGACAGGTCTGGAGCTCTGGGGGCAGCACGGACAGGTCAGAGCTCTAAAGCAGCACGGACTGTCCAGAGCTCTGAGAGCAGCACGGACAGGTCAGAGCTCTGGG